TAGGAGCGAGGTTGTACCGTTTATACTCGTCCCCAGGGTCATCTCCGCTTTCAAGATGGCGGGCGAGCGGTTTATAGCGATAGTTTAGTGATAGTCGGGTGTGAGATCTATGTTTCTTGGCGAAACGTCGACGACCTCCCAGACCAGTTGAAGAAAAAAAAAATACTCCCATGACTTGCATGACTCGCATGACTCGCATGGCTCACACCGTGGCTCGCATGGCTTGCTGGCTCGCAGATTTAGCAGACCCCAATTTCAATGGTTTTGTTTTTGGTGACTGTCCCTGAAAAAGTGACCAGTTACTGTAGTGGTGCTAATTATTGTAGATTATTGTATAATAAAAATGTACATAGGATTTATCATTTTGATGTTGGAACTTTAATAGGTACTTAATCACAGGGTCATGGAGGTTGACTACTAATTTAGCAAAGATGGAAAATGCACAAACTGAATGGCTGCCTAGTTTGTTTACATAAATTTATTTAACATGGGCAAAATTTTGTGTTAACATTTCTTATCTAGATACAGAATTAAAAAATTACCTCTTCCACGTTATCTATATATGTGGCTTCATGCAAATGAGTGATTTATCTTTTGGGGGAGATTATTGTTTGTCATGAGTGTTTTGATACACACCTTACATCTGAGTACCTTGTGTCCAGTCCTGTGTGCTGTTTACTTCCCACTTACTTGTATCATGTTCATTCAATTTTTAACCCTTCATGTAGCTGTTAAACTCAAGATTCGTGTTAACTAATTTGCATAAAACTATAAAACAAAAAAAATTGAAAACACTTATCAACAGTTTAAAGGTCAAATCTTTTTAATGACTAAGTTTTCAATGCTTTGTTTTTGGTTTAATGTGTGTTACCATGACCAAAATAAAGGAACTTCAAAGATTAGCTATGCTTAAGTCTCAAGTTTAAAACAACTAACAAGTGTCTTTTAGTAATCCTACCTGGTCACAGTTACTGTACTCTAATTCTAAACCTAAAAATTAACAAATTGATGTCATTTTTTATGTATCTGTCCTCTTATTGATGATAAATTGCATCATAACATTGTCAAAGTGGCTGTGTAACCACTCGCCTACGGCTTGTGGTTCTGCAGTAAACTTTGACAATGTTATGATGCAATTTATCATCAATAAGAGGACAGACGCATAAAAAACTGACGTCAATTTATTTTTTACAATAACAAGACCCGAAAATGGTCAAATGCCGGGAATAAATGAGGGGAAAAGACGTGGTAAACTTGTCTTAAACAAAGATAAGTGAATCGTATTCACTTTTTGATTGGCTACTTAAAAAAGTCCATAAAATCTCATTAAAAGTTGACAGACAGCTGAAAGTTGAACTTGAAAGCTTGCATAAATTAAAATTTTGTACATCTGTGTTCTTACTGATGATAAAAATGAGCCAATCAGCACGTGAGAAATTAGACAGTTATTGTAAAATATGTAAATTGATCCTTATAGTTTAGTCTGTTTGAAATTTTTCGTTGGTACCTCTCAGGTTGAAATTTAAACAAAAAACTGGCGGGCCAGGAGCTTCGCTTTTAGGCTTGGCTAAATCTATGTATTATTCATGGGAGGGCCGGGGAGTACCGGTAAGTCAGTGCATGATTACTTCCTGTTCCAAGAGTGTTCCAGGTAAATCCTCATTGTAGTCGCTGAGTATCTTATGCTTGAAAATAGAGGAGATATCTTGTAAGTTCTCTCTTTCTCTCAATCATGGAGTTTCAACAAACTCCTCAACCTGCAAATGAAAGTGACACCAAAGTGACATAATTATAATTCTGGCTAAAAATAGCCAGAGCCATACTGACGCATCAGCTGTAAATTTTCTGCCATAGTATACCGTGAAGCTAACAAATGAGAAAGCTGAAGGCAAAATGTGATAAATAGCCGTGATGTGATATTTTACTAAGAAAAAAAAGACATTGCAATACTGCACTTACTAGTTTGGCTACCCAGTGGAAATGAGTACTGTCAAAGTGTTGTAAGAGTGAAGATATTCAGTTAATCCATCAGGAATACAATTATTTTGCTTTTAAAATTTTAATTTCTTTTAGGACTTTGGACCTTCCAGTTGGGAAATGATCGAGCGGTACTGGGTCTGAGTGTTCCGTGATGTCATCGTATACGCGCCTTTCCCCTCTCAGACGGAACCATCTTTGAGGAGGTTTGCTAGCATCAACTTTTCGAACAGTTTTGTAAAATTGTCGCCGATATTATGGAGCAATCCGACCGTGATATATTGCGAAAAAACAGGCAGGATTTATTGAAGGATATGGAGGCGAAAAGAGTCGCTTCGCGGCTTTACTCGAGAGGTATTTTCAGCGAAGAAGATAAGGACGAGGTGAACTCCAAATCTACTACGAATGAGCAAGGAGAATGTTTGCTTGACATTCTTCCCAAAAGAGGACCAAAAGCTTTCCGTGCCTTTTGCGACGTCTTACACGAATTGTCTCCTCACTTGGAATCACTTCTGAGGCCGGTTCAAGAAGCGGGTGAGATACTTTTTATGTTGCCATTGTCAGCTGAAAATTAGTATGCTTATCAAATTCGATCGATCGAGCTCAAGCACGAATTCTTTTAACGTGCAGTTTTGAACATTGTATAGCAAGCGTGCATAACTCCAATCAAGATAATTCTTTACCATTTAAAATGTTTAAGTATTGCCCTTTTGTTTGCACTCCTTATCCTTGTCAATATTGGTACCATTTCCGAATTGTACACCAGGCTGTAAAATTTTATTCATAGTGCGGTATCTATCTGTAAAATAGTTAATGGTAAAGGTTTGAGCTTCTTTAGCTGAGTCATGTTTTTGGTCGTCACAAACTGCTTGTAGCATCATACTTCCGGGCAATGCCCTTTCTCGGAAAAAAAGGCAAGTGTCGCATCGATCGTGAGTTCATTGCATGCCGTTTAATTTAACCAATTATTATTGACTTCGACGATGATGTTGTCTCCCCTCAGATTCCATTCAGCTTGATTTTCATTTTTTTTTTTATTATCTCATTAACCTAGAACAAAGAATACTAACAATAAGATGTCATCTTGCATGCTTTGTCTCACTGATTGGTCCAACAATCTTTCCCTAACTCAAATGTCCTATCTTCTGGTGAATGTCCATTACAGTGTTCAAATGGTTTACTGCAGGTACAACACTGGGACCTTGTTGAAATTATGCACTGTTACTCACATTAGTATTCTTCTGTTTTGATTTGTTTTGTTTTATTATTTTCAGATGTCATATGAGTTTGCCATGAAATATGTCATTCCAGTTTAATAACCAGATTGAAATATCTACTTTATTATTTCCCAATTTCTAGTCATTTCTTCCCATTTCCACATCCCATAGCTTGAATCTTTCCTGGTTGCCTTGAAGGTTCAAGTTATCAGGTGTCAACTTTAACAACTGGTCTCCCTTTTCAAACAGGAATACCAAGTGAAGGTACTGATGGTGGAAACAAGAACCCTATCTCTAGCACTTCAAACCTTGGTGCATCAGGTACTTGACAATAAATAAATTACTAATTATTCTTAATTTAATGTAGGTGAATATTGGACACACTGTATGCCACATTTGATCTTGAGATTGGACCAGAATAATTTGTTATGTTTATGAAGTGTAATGCAATCCTAATCCAGTCAGTATTGAGATTTTTTTAGACAATCGTGTTCACTGTTGTGGCCTCCCCGCAGCAGGGGCAAATTACATCATGGGGTACGCAGTCATGTGTATAGATTTGAGGCAAGTGTTCAAAGCTTCAGTTTGGCACTTTAGTGCTGTGATTTTCGGCAATAGGTGACCCTACCCTTGTCATCCAGAGTGACTATTTTGTACCTTGGCGATGGCAAATGTTCATGAATTGTTTCAGGTTGTGTAGGTTAGGAAATGGCCGGGATATATGGTTAGAAAATAAAAGTTTCCGAGTTGTAGCTTGGACTAGCTCGGTCAATGACCATGATTTGTTTTCTGAAAACAAACTTTCCTCGTCTTGTAGCTGTGATTTATGTTTAGAACTCTTTTAACGTTTTTCATTTGTGTAAACAAGATGTAAATTTGAGCAATTGAAACAAATACAAACACCAGGTAAAATTGACAAGATGTAAAGTATTGGTGACAAGCTGTCTAACAGGGTCAGCTGGTCAAAATTTATTTGCTTGAGAAATATCTATCACGAAATATCTATCAAGTGTTAGTGATCTGAAATTGAAGTTTGAGTTTCACAAACAGTTAAATAAAATGTCTTTGCTGTAAAATATTTTGTCCAGTACAAGTTAAAACTTTATTATTAAAACCATTTTTAGGGGTCGCTGCTGCGGGATCTAATTTATTTATCATTAGGTAAACTTTACGCGCAAATCGTTGTCTGTCATTTTGATCAAACTTTGTTTGTCAAATATGTAAAGTACACCCGTGAACGCACCACTCAAATCTTTGATTACTATTAGTAATAATTATAAAGGCTTGACTTCCTTTCAAGTTGTGCATTTCTCAATCACATCACATGTTGGGAAATGTGGTTTTGTCATGTTCTTGTGTCTAGCTGCAATTGCAGAAGGTTACTTTAATTCATTGTTAAAACTGTTTTTACAGATAGTGGTAATTATATTATCTTTGAGTGTTTGTCATTGCTGAATTGTTTTTCGCTGTCACTCTGTCACTAGCTTCTTTGAAAATACGAAGAAGCTATCCACCAAGCCTCATTATTGAGGTTGATAATTTTGGGTTCAGAGTACATATGCACATGGGCATGCTTAAAAATTTTGCAGGACCCCTAAAATTTTGATGCTGCGGGGACTAGGATGCTTTCTTGAGGAAACCTAGTGCAAACTAATGGATCAGTTGTTTTGAACCAAAGTGCCAGAATGTTTTCAAAATTCAACATTTTGGAAGGTTTATAGCCAAAATAGTATGGTAAATGATGTGTTTTATTCTAGTTGCAAAATGCAACATTTGGGTTTGATGGTTGTAAAATAATAGATGTCTTAAGTTTGAACATGAACTGATATGTTCCCACTCTTTTCAAAATCTTGAAAAGAGCTTGAATTTTAGTCCTTATATAAAAAAGTCCTTCAATAAGGCCAGAAATCTAAAACATGTGTTTTCTGGTTGGTCTGTGAACATATTTTGTTATTTTGTAATAAATTATTTTATGGAGAGCAGTCTTTGACTCCTGAAAAAGTCATGCTCTTAAAAGCTCTTAAAATTTGTGGAACATATTATAAACAATTGTACAAAGTACACAACCTTTCCCCTGCCATGTGATTCTGAGGACAACGAGTCTTTGTTTGTTGCTGAATTTTATGTAAAAAGTCTTTGAATGCTCCTTGAAATATTTTGAAGTGATGTCCATTTGAACTATGCCAGTGTTTTAAATACCACTTTCTGTAATATGAAGTGACTGCTCTTAATCTGCATGTGTCTCCTCCTGTGTATACATTGATTCATGTGCACCCTGCTTTGAGGACAGTGGACAGGAGAGCATCTTGCACATGTATAAGAATACAAGATAAGGATTGTACCTGGTTGAGCTTTAGATTGGATTTTTGATTTCGGGTCTTGCACACTAAAATTTCACCACTGCATTTCACACTTGGAAGGTCCTATAAAATGGAGTCATCTGGTTACTTTTTGAGCAAACCACACATTTCACTGAATGAGATACTGATTATTGTACAAATTGCAACTTTTCGGGAACCTGGCCACAATATCTTACAACCTGGTTTATGACCCATGTGTTCTAACCGTCAGGTGAGTGCTTTCATTGTTTGAAGTTGTTATACTTTGATAAACTTTGTAAGTTTATATGCCTATAGGCACCAAACCATGTCATTCTGAGATTCATTAAGTCAAGATGAATTCCAAGCAGACCTGGTTGTCCCAAAGGCATTCATAATTTTAGGCATTTGAATTTTCAGCATTAGAGAATGTTACAGAATAATGCTCCACTGTTGGTTCCATTTAGAGACAAATTCCCACCTGGAACCTGGACAAGTGTAAATGCCATACTGTGCTTTGGAAAAGTGCTGTCGCTATACCAATAAAATTGTTGAAGATACTGTTGACCAGGTGATAAAAATTAAAATGAAACTCACCAGATTGATAAATTTATGACTAATTTTCAGGACTCCAAGCTGAATGTTTTCAAACATCGCCTTTTGGTGGCCTTTACTAATGTAATGGCCACCAGATATTAAAGTTTGGTTGCAGTCTATGTGGGGATACATTGTACTTCATTATATGAGGTATAAATTTAAAACCACAGACTGTTCTGAATCAAACGAAATCAATTAAACTGGAACTACATGATTTAGGTTTTGATACAAAGTCAAAACAGGCAATTACAAGAAGAACCTGTTAAGCTTAAGAAATTTTGTATTGTTTGACTTACAAATTTTTCTAGTATCAAAAACAACTTGCCAAATTGGCAAACCTTGGGACTATTTTAGTGACTTTTTTTTGCTATGGCTATGTCCAAAATGGTCCCACCTTGAAGCCATGATTTTATGCGGAGGTGGTATTTAGCCTTATAGATAACACATTTTAATTAAGAAATGCAGAGTAAGCAAGAAATATATTTTTACTTGGTAACTTTCTAGAATCAACAAATTGTTAGCCAGCCAGAATTAAGTTATAAATACTGACAAAACCCTACTAAAATTCATGTTTGTCTGTACACCCATAGGTACAGAATAACCAAGAAATGCTAGTGCACAAAGAGACGTCTCAAAGTGCTATGTATAGCACTGTGAATCATCTGACACAACAAGTGAAACCAAAGATTTTTTCTGTGAAATAAATGGATTTAATTGTCTTGCTTGCTCTGTCTTTGATGATGTTGTAATTTTATGTAACATGTATCTGTCTGTAGAAACCAGACTAAACTTTTCGCCTTGACCATCTAACCCTAACCCTAACCCTTGAAACTTTGTTATAGATAATATTATTAATCTAGACTCAAGGAAAAGTTTGTGCAAAGAATATTCAGAAGTTCTAAGGTCAACGCCTATTTGAAGATTTCTTTAAACCAGTATTTAGGTTAAATAATGAAAAAAGGAAATAAAATAGTAGTACTAATATGTTCACAACTTACTTGCAGAGAATAACTATCTTTTTGTCCTTGGAGAAATCCTCAAACTGAGTAATGTGTTTTTGTTGTACTTGTTTTCTTTTTAGAAAAAGATGATTCAATAGAGCAGTCACTTGAACAGAATAGCATTGGTTCCAAATCTTCATCAAGCATGCCCGATAGCAGTTTAATCTACAGAATGAATCGCTCTCCAAGAGGCATTGCAGTCATCATAAACAACAAAACATTTCTTGAATCCTCTGGACAGCATTTATCACCACGTGAGGGCACAGATGTTGATCGTGATGCCTTAAAGAAGCTTTTCCAAAAGCTACAATTTAAGGTGGAAATCTACAACAACATCACAAAACGTGAAATAAGAAATGTCACAGCAAAGATGGCAACAGCTGATCATTCCAACTACGATGCTTTTATCTTCACTATTCTGACACATGGCGAGGAAGGTTTGGTGTATGGAACAGATGGCACAATTTCAATCAGGGACATTGCCTCCAAGTTCAAATCAAATGCTTCATTGGCTGGCAAGCCAAAGATCTTCTTTTTCCAAGCTTGTCAAGGTACGAAGATTGACAAGAAATTTATAGTACAGTGAATATACTGGTAATTCCATGGAAAGCATGTTGATTTACTTCTTGCATTACAACTTTTGGTTTACCCTAATGACAGTTTCCTAAAACTAGATAAAAAGATGATATAAGCAGGCACTCAGTTTGCTTCAGACTAGTGCAGCACAGGCTGTACTCAGTATTATTTTATTGATGAAATCCAACCTATTTATCAGCTTCAAAGCTGATAAAGGTAAATTAATTGTTATTAATAGCAAGATTGAGAAGCTGACGTTTTGAGTGTTAGTCCTTTTCACACAGGTTGATTTTACTTAGTAATTAATATTACCTTAATATTATGTTTCCATGAAAGCTTTTTTTGTGAAGAATTTTACCAGCAAATTTATAACAAACTTGTTTCTTTATTCAACCTGCAGGTCAGGAGTTCATGGAGGGATTGGATGTTCCTGATGGACCTCAGCCTTATGAAAGTGTGACTGTCCCAGTTGAAGCTGATTTCTTATATGCGTATTCTACCGTACCAGGGTACTACTCATGGAGAAACTCAACTCATGGGTCTTGGTTCATGCAATCATTGATTAAAGTATTTGAGGAGAATGCCAAGCACATGGACATCCTCCAAATGCTGACCAGAGTCAATGCCAGTTTATCTACCTATAAATCACAGACCTATAACCCTATCTCGAAAAACAAAAGGCAGATAGCTTGTATTGTCTCAATGCTCAGAAAAGAGTTGTACTTTTTCCCTGATGTGGAAGTTCACTCTCAAGAGGGACGTGACAATTCAAAATGTCCACTTTTTTGATCTTGCAAGAGTTTGTTTGGTGATTAAATTCTACAAAAATGCGGTCATGGCATTTGATTTAATTTCTTCTTTAAGTTGGCTCCACAAGAGTGGAAAGAAAACAAGTGTTGGGGCTCTAACTATATTGTACTAGGCTGAAAATCATCAAAGCAAACCCCCCAAAAGTTTGTCTTAAACATTATGTACATAATTTAACTTTCCTCAAAAATTTTGTCAAGAAACTTCATTTCATACAAGTGACAGACAGAATCTGCTAGCTTGTCTGAAAATTCACTAACCCCACGGTGTCAGACAGGACTTTCCTTGGACAGAGAAACATTATGAACACAAGGAAGTTTGTTCTCGTTAAGTTTGTAACTTTGCTACAGTGTGGAAAACCATTGTTGGTTGCTTTGTACAAGTTTTTAAGAGTCTGTCGCTTAGTTTGTTTTCAAGACCCCATGTTTGTAACAAAAACAAGATGGAAGGAATGTAAAGTTACTTTTTTTTCATTTGCAGTTTTCAATAAGTTTGTTTTAAGAAAACAACTATGTGTAAATAGGTATTATGGACACAGTGAAACTGAAGTTCCCAGTATAAGGTCCTAAGATATGAATGAAGAAAATGTACATACAGTATATTATTAACAATTTATTATTACTATTTTGTTGTTTAATGTTAGCTAAGCTTTGTATTGGTTATTGTTTTTATATGCACGATTTTAGTAATTTCATATAAAATAATATTGTGACTTATTCTTATATAGTCAACTTTGTCTAATTTAAATTACAAAAGAAGTTTATTTTTTATGTAAAGGCTGTATTTCCTAATTTTTAATATTTGTAATGAAAGTGTAATATTTATTTTAAAAAACCACTTTATCTGGTCCCGTGAAGGGCAGACTCCCGTATAAAAAGGCCAGGGGTGCTGGTTAGAAGTTTTGAAAAGATCCCCTTAGAGGTACCAAGATCCTGTTTTGTGGGTGTGGCTTGAATTTTTTTTCACCGCTAAGAGGTACCAATTCTAAAACAACACTGAAGATAACTCCTGTCATATTTTTTCAGCTCAATGTACACTAAAAGGTACTGTAAAAGCTCCCACTGTTGACCTTTTGAGGCTCAGCAACCTAAGAGTTTCCAAACCACTTTTTTAACCCCTAAAAGGTACAATGAGCACCCTGCCATTTTTACATGGGAGTAACTCGTGGTAACTGGTTTTGAAGTTATTTGTTCAGAACAAACAATGTTCCTGTATTGTTCATCTCTAAGTCATTCCAATTGGGAGAATTAAATTCTTCTTTACTACGTTCATTGTCTTTATCTGTGTGTTTGCAGCCATTCAAATAGCAATAATGTTTGGCTTACTGGCCATTTATTTCCGAGGAACAGGCCCTTGCCACAGGGGTTCTGTGGTAAGGTATATAACAGTAAAAAGCTTAGTAAATGTGGTTTTTCGATTAAAAAAATATATATAATTTAAGTGACTTTTTTTTCTTAGCATCAGGAGCCAGTAGACCATGAAACATGCAAGGGTTTTATTGAATTTGTCAAAATCAAATGCCGCAGCACAAGCGAAACAGTTGCATAGTGTCATTCAGCAGGCATCAAATTCAATCAACAAAAATGTGCCACGCCTTTTCGATATTCTTCATGTTTGCACCTAAAGTTAGCTCTTAAAATGTGAGGCGTGTTGGGTGAATAGACACCACAGGAAAAATATTTTGAATATCAAACTTTCCTGACACACTTGTTTGTCATTATTCCTGAAATGTTTCAGCAACTTTTCATGAAAATCCCTCAGGTCTAAATTTGCTCAAAGTTAAGTATTCTTCCCAAAATCAAAATGTGGCATTTTAACTAATAAAGGTTCATAAACAACTTGTACCACACATGGAGATTATCTCACCTCATCCTCATAAAACCGCAAACCAATGGAAAACAGGACCTGGACAATGGATCAGAAGCTCCCAGTAAAAATTGTCACTATGCATCCATGTTTTCTATCTCACTGAAGTGTTGAAGGGAAAAACACCATAGGTATTCGCATATGAGAGCTGCTTGCAGGCTAGGGTATTTGTTCTTTGGTTCCTCAATGGATGACAAGAGTTTTTGTCTGAACCAAGAGTCTTCATTGCTTCCAGTAACGTTTTTTTTCGTTTTTCTTCACAGAATTGTTTGTTATATGGATTGATTTTTCCCCTCTGTTCAAAGACGGTATTCTTTATGACTCTTCATTTGAGAGCAGGCACAAAAGCGAACGCAAAGAACTTCCAAGTGCAAATTTTAACAAAATGTGTGATGTAAATAACAAAACATGAGCTCCAAGCTGAGCTTTTGCTGTGAAAATTCCCGTTTACACCCAAAATGTTGGGTGTTACCCTAGGAGTATAAACTATACATGCGTAGAGCACAGCTCAACTTTAACACTGGCAAATCTGGTTGTGTGTTTGTTTCTTCAGAAAGTGCTGATGAAGCTGATGCTAAGCTGTTTGGCTTTGGAGGTGGTAGTGCAAGTGCCAAGCCTTCATCAAGCACACTGGATAAGGAGATCATTTACAAGATGGATCGCTCGACTCGTGGAATTGCTGTCATCATTAACAACAAGAACTTCCTGAGGTCTTCAGGGATGGATCGTTATCCACGTAATGGCACTGATGTTGACCGAGACAGCCTGGTGAAGCTTTTCAGAATGCTGAAGTTTGAAGTCAAGATTTACAATGACCGCACCAAAGCTGAGATACGTACCATAACAAAGGAAATGGCAACATTGAATCATTCCAACTATGATGCGTTTATCTTCTCCATCCTGACACATGGTGAAGAGGGTGTAATTTACGGAACAGATGGCACCATTTCCATCCGGGATCTTACAGCAGAGTTTAAATATTCCACTTCTTTGGCTGGGAAGCCAAAACTATTTTTCTTCCAAGCTTGTCAGGGTAAGAAGATAAACACATATCATTTGCAGGCAGCACTTCTTGTACAGGGCATGTGTTGTTTCTATGTAGAATATTCTACATTTGAACTGCACTACAAAGAGAAACAGCATGAAAAATCATCAAGTTCTGAATGTAACTTGAGCAGTTGGCTTGAAATTTTTTTAGGCTTTATTTTCCCAGCAACTTAAGTTGCATTCATAATTTCGATGATCTGTCATGTGTGTAATTATTTTTGTGACATGTCTGCTTAATTTCATGTTGATATCTTGAGAACTCTTGAAGATTAACTCTTGGTTTCTGAGGACAATCAATTATGATATAAACATGTCAAGTAGAAGTAAGCTAAGACAAAAATCAGCTAGGGATCTTGGCTTCATATGATGATCAAGCACCCAACAGATCTTTTCAGTAAATTATATAATATTATTATGACTGTTCAGGAGGTGTTTAAACCCCTCCAATATTCTTTAGTTAATTTTCTCCTAGAACTTTTTTGATATGAGAAATACAATGCCTGTTGCTTTTGGATTGATAATGATGTTGTTTTGAGTGCCGAAAAAGGCCAGCTACAATGTTTGGAAAAGCAACATCTGCTAAGGTTTTTGGGAAATGGGCAAAAAAAAAAAAGCCCTAACATACTAAAGTTTACCTAGAATAACCATAACCAAAAAGATGAAAATTTGACAGTGCAGCCACAGCTTTAAAAAGCACTCTAGATAGCCTAAAACAGCATTTTTAAAAAGGATTTGAGAGAAAGACGTCATTGTTAGCCTGTGATAAGTTTCCAGCTACTTATAAGGATATTTTTTCCCTATTTTCAGAGACTAATTTTGTGTTATATGATGTATTTTTAAGGACATGAGTACATGGATGGTATGGACGTCACTGATGCTCCGCAAGAAAACAAAGTGTCTGTTCCAGCTGAGGCTGACTTCCTCTATGCCTACTCCACAGTCCCAGGGTACTACTCATGGAGAAATTCTGTCAATGGATCCTGGTTTATTCAGTCATTGACAAAGGTGTTCGAGGATAATGCTGAGCGTATGGATATCCTCCGAATGCTGACCCGGGTCAATGCCATGGTGTCTACTTACAAGTCGCGAACCGGTGATTATTATTCCGACAGCAAACGGCAGGTTTCTAGTATTGTGTCAATGTTACGGAAGGAACTGTATTTCTTCCCTGAAAACGTTGAGCAGAGTTAAGATGGACACTGTAGTACAAACATTTTAGTTCCTATATCATGATGTATGACCGTGAAAATTATTTTTTATTGTGGAGAATTGAAATGAACTTAGATAAGAGAATCCTGTGTGGCTAGCCTTGTTAAAAACTTGTTGGAATTTGTTTAAGAAATAAAAAAATCTTTGTTTCTAGTAAGTGATAGGAACACAGATGGAAGAAATGTGTCCACAGCTTTTTTAGTTCTCCCAAACTTTTATGGCTATTTCTATAAATTGAAGAAACAGAGAAAATGTTTTCTATTTCTGTTAAAGAGCACTGTGGGAGAAAAAGAGGAAGTTTAAATGACTTTGAAAGCCACTAGGTGATCTTGTGCCCTCTGTTAAAATAAAACAGAATTCAATAATTTTGCCTTCTGTTAATTAGGCCAGTTACATCTGGCAACATTGCAGAATGGTTGAAAGTCTTAATCGTTATAGGCCTTATTAAAGTTTTCTGTGCTAAACTGATCAAGTGTGACTTGTGCACAGAAGATTGGTTCAAACGCAGTTACTGTTGAAAATTAGAGGCTAGTCTTTCAGTGCTTGCTTATCAACATTTGTCTCAGTAACTCTTCACTGACTTGCAACAAAACTGTAGCATTGAGGTTTTGACTTGTCTGGTAGCGCGAGGTTTGTAAAGTAGAATTAACGAGTGATATTGAGTGCTTATTGGCAAATGACAAGTGGAAATTAGAAAGATCTTTTTCTATTTTGATCAGGACATATGCAAGTTACCGGTACTATTTCGGTGGCAACAAAATTAATGTGTCATCAATGCTATCAATGTTGTTTATGTGCACTAATAGCTTAATAATAATAATTAATAATTTACCAATTTATATGGCGCATATTTACATATTCTGATCAATAGCACTTAACAATCACCATAAAAATAAAATAAAATTATAAATTCTAATTATAGATAAGTCTTAAGTCGAGACTTAAAACTGTCAAGTGATGTTGCTTGACAAAGCTCTTCAGGTAGGCCATTCCAGAGTTTCGGAGCTGCTG